TATATTTAATTAAAAAAAATCAAAAAAATTTTGAATTTTTACCCAGTGGATGAGTTTTAAGATTTTCTTAATTAAGATAAAATATATTAAAAATAACTTAAAAAAATTGAAAAGTATATATGATATGAAATATAATGTATAAGAAGGACATTATGTATACGATTTTGATAATATTTAACTCACACCTAAATGCATGGCTTACACTGACAGCCTAGCAGTTATAATGAATAATACAAATTAATTATGAACACACTTCATTTGTTAAAAAATGTAAGGCATTTTTTGAGGAGTTGGATATTAAAAAATGTAAAATATTTTTAGTCTTTTGAAATGTAATCATTGTCTTTTTTTTGTCAAAAATGTTCATATTGATAATGAATTTATATTTATTATAAGGTATTTAATAAAGTAAATGTAAAAAGATATGATCAGTTGGAAAGTAGGTATCTACTTTATTAAGGGGTTGAAATTTGATTAAAAATGTCTTATATTTTTTAATGGAGGAAATATTAATTAGATCATTTAAAAGAGAAAAGTTTAGGTTTTTTTTTTTTGGTTTTTTAGCCCAAGAAAGGTTTAGTTTAATTGAAACATGAACACATATAATCATCGTCACCTTCAAAAAAAAAAAAAAAGACCGACACTAAATATCAATAACAGTTAACTGAAGTTGTTGGGCATTTGTTTCTTTTAAGCAAAATTTGAAGTTCATCAAGACATGTACATTTGAAGAAAAATGGCGTTAGCACTTGGAAGAGGTTAATTAATGTGACTTTCAGAAACAGCTTGAAACATGAAAAGGGTCATTCATTAAGTATGTTACTAATGACTATTTAGAGTATTCCTTTGTGTTGACAAAAGACCAAATTAAATGCTCATTGCTAATGATGCTTCATCACAACGGCAAGATTAACTTAGTGTTTTATTTAAAAGAAGTTAATAATGCATCTCTAACAGCAGTTGACATTTTCCTGTTAGCCAAGTTTTTTTTTATCAAATTAAAAAAATGTTACTTGCACAAATAATCTGCAAATATTATTATATATGACTATCTATTGAAAAAAAAAAGTCAACGACCCTGCTAAATTTTGTGAGTTAATTATAATTTACCCCATGGAAATTGGTCCTAGTTCACGTGTCTCTCCGTTTTTTTTTTTACTCTATATAATTTTTTTGCTATTTTTTTATCAAATACTCCCTCCGTTTTTAAATATAAAAAAAACATTCAATTTATATAATTTAAATTTTTTGTTAAGTGTAATAATTATATTTGAAAAAAGACTAGATTATCCTTATAATTAATGGAATAAATTGTCTAATGAAAATAAATATTGACTTGGACAATTTGAAAAAAAAATGTAATAAATGTTTTTTTAATTTTTAATTTTACTTATAAATAAAAACATGATAGTTTCTCTAATATTCAAAAATGAAATAGTAACTTAGTATCTATAAGTTACATTGAAATCTCAAGAATTAGTTAGTCGAGTTTAAATAATTATTCATTTACTTATTCATAAGCTACACTCACACATATTAAGTTATCAATATATTTTATATATGAGATTATTTTAAAAGTTGATTTATGTTTCAAAACTTAAAAAATTCACACAATAATTTAAGAAAATAAAAAGGATTAAATCAATAAAAATTAACTTGAGAGACCTAATTGATAACTAAATAAATTTTAAAGAACTAAAAATTTCATTATCTCTTAAAAATATATCTTATTCCCAGTTTGAGCAATTGTTTACCAGCTTTATTGAGAGCATTAAATAATATTCGAAGCTAAAGTTTTTTAGCTTCCCTTGCCACAAACTTGTTCATTATCTTAACATTTACTTAATTATTACTTCTACTAGACTTTAGATAACAGATATACCACAAAATGGTTAAAAGCTAATTTATTAAAGGGATACAATAATCGCTAGTCTTTTAAACAATGAATCTTCTAGATGTTTCGTGTCAATATCAATCACAAAAATCTACCACGCCATGTCCATCATTGATTGGTAGTGGAAGTGTACTGTCTTTAGTTATTGGAGAAAATGACAATTAAAGACTCTCCAAAAATCTTAATCCCAAATACAAATCATAATATTTTAAAATCTTAATTAAGGACAATGGTCCCTCATACGGATACAAAAAAATGTAGTTTGTAAGATAGGATTTACTAACGCTATTTGAGAATTTACTAACCTAATTTGAAAAAATTATTAACATATATTGTGAAAATATGAAACCTGACTTAGGAATTGATTGTTTAACAAAAAGTATCAATGAAAAATTCAATAATCCGACTTGAAAAAATTTCTAATGTATATTGTGAAAACATAAAACTATACTTGAAAATCAATTGTTTAACAAAAAGTACCACTTAAAAATTCATTAATCAAACTTGAAAATTTTTTTAACATATATTATGAAAAAATAAAACCTCATTTGAGAATTGATTGTTTAACAAAAAGTAATTTGTCTTCGAAAATTTACTAACTCGACTTGAAAAAAACTTTCTAACGTATATTGTAAAAATATAAAACCTCTCACTTGAGAATCGATTGTTTAACAAAAAGTGACTTGTTTAAATTGAGATTTTTTGTCTAAATTCTCAAGTGTTATTTTTTGTTACACAATTGATTCTCAAGTGGGGTTTTATGTTTTCACAATATATGTTAGCAATTTTTTTAAATTGTATTAGTAAATCTTCAAGTAACATTAGTGAATCCCACCTCATAAATTTTATCTCAATTAAGGATCATGATCGTTAATTAAGATTTTAAAATATTACAGTTCTTTTCAAATTAATATTTTTAATGGTTCTTAATTATCCTTTTTCCTAGTTATTGCGATCTAGTGGGCCAAAATGACTGGGTCCTATTTGTGCTCAAAAATTGTGCTTTCTGATATTTGATCGCAGGTATTCATATAATAACTGGCAATAAAGTTGATTTTACATATAGTTGATTTTGTTTGTCTTATTTTTTCTTTGTTGCGTTTGTTTGGAGACTTGTCCTGTGTCTTTTAATAGTAGTATGCTTTTTTTTTTTTTTATAACATTGTAGTAGCATCCTTTTGTTGGCAAAAGATATTTGATCGCAGATATTCATAAAATAATTGGCAATAAAGTTCCAAAAAAGAAATGGAGAAATCTCTTCCTCTATCTGTTTTCTCTTTCAAATTTTCTAAAATTCTGAAGCATGATGTGAACAAGCCATAAAAAACATTAGCCTAATCTGCAATATAAACAAAAATCAAATTATAACGTAAGCAACCACTCCTCTGGCCAAAAAAAAAAAAAAACGTAACCAGCCACAGTATACACTATTTATTAGTTGTTAAGTTTCAAAGTTTTCACCTAAGTTTGGTAATTTTCCCTCTTTACCCCAAATCTAGATACAGATACAGTCCCACTTGTTTCAGCAATATAAATAAAGTCCAGGTCACGTGCAGAAGAATAGGAAAATGAAAGGTTTCACATGGTTTTGTCTATTGTTATATTAAATTGCCCCATCTGTTACGTCTAAAGCAAAGCAAAGTTTGAATAGCGTTGCTGAATCAATTGGGAGAAGATTTGAGGGAAAATGACAATTAGGGATCCCATAAAAATATTGATGATAATTATATCCTGAATTATTAAAATTTTAATAATAGATTATAGTTTTTATTTGCAATAAATTATCTTTCAATTGGCTCATAAAAATATGACAATTATCTTGCAAGAAATTACACTTAAAGTGAAACTTTAGTAAAATTTCAAGTAGTACTAAAAATTCTTAAATATATTTTGTTCATTTTCTAAGCAATAGTAAAAAATATAAATGATTGACTTGTGATTCTCAATTAATTTTTGTAAATTTTTAACTAACATTACAAATAATCACACGTGTATTTAGTAAATTTTTTAAGTAATTTTTCTATATATTAATAATAAAAAAATCTTAAGTGATTGACTTATGATTTACAATTAACTTTTATAAATTATCAACTAACGTTACAAATAATTTTAAATGTATTTATTTAATTTTTTAAATGTTTTATTAGCACATTGGTAATCCAAAAAAAAATTTACAACTTTTGTAAATTTCTAAGCCACGTTACAAATACTCTTAAATATATTTAATATATTTAATTGTAAATAAAAATTATGATTTATTATTGATATTCCAATAAGTTAGAGTTGGTAATGTCATTAATAATTTTATACAGCCCCTAATTATCATTTTCCCAAGATACGAGGCAAGGAAAGAAAACTTAATTGCAGTCATTTTAAATGAAAGGGATCCTATGTGGGATTAAAGTGAAAGGATAGTCTAGTACCATGATTCAAGAGCTTTAACTAAAATATTGTTCGTAGATGAAAACAAAGACATTAATTTATTCAGATAAATCCATTTCCTATCCAGCTTAAAACCTAGGAGCTACTCTATAAGTTGTGACTGACAGAATCTGTCGAATTATTAGCATTCAGTCACGTTCATAATAAAATTATTTGCCATCCTCACTTTATTGTTTAAAGGTGACCATTGACATGATATTATTTATAAGCAAAAAACGTTAAACAAATGAAATTTACACTAGATTAAAACTAGCTCTCACAACGTTTATCAGCAACGAAAAGTGACCAAGCCCAAATATAGAGGGAGAGAACAAATAAGTGATACAAAATAACTCAAATTTATAAAGTTCAAAGTTCAAATTTAAGTTCAAAGTTCAAATTTATGAGTCATTTCATGTTATTATATGAAAGATTTTATCTATTACGAGACTTCTCACATCAAAGCCAAATTTACTCCCATTTGACTGATAATTCTAGAAAAAGATTATTAGTGGATCTTATCATTTTTAGACCTTAATGAAATTTCATCGTTTTCTTAAGTAAGAATATTTCTTGCCTTGTCAATCCTCGTTAATGGTTTGAGTGCACATAAAAAATAAAATTGGAAGCCTTTCTTCGGAAAAAGCAGGGAAGTTTTCTTCCTACCTTACACTATGATGAAACATTGCCACAAGGTAATTTCTTTATTTTTTCCTTATGTATTACTATAATTTATTCGAGTCATAAATTTACCATAGAGTTGCTTGCATATACAATTAGGGCTAGCTATTAATTACAATGAGAAATAGACTTCATGAGATTTGATGAAAGCCTATGGATGAATTAATTACAATGGACTAAATGTAATACGGAAGGTATAGGGAAAAATACTTGTCAGTTGTCCTTGCCAGAGGCTGCCTCTGGAAGTTTGAATGTGGGAGGCTTGTCCACACCCCTCCTCGAGTACTCTCTCCATCTTCGTGCTGCTGCTGCTGCTCTCTTTTCTCTCTCTTTCACTTCCTCCTCTGCAAAAAGTTATTATTTTGAGGACTAACCAGCAAAAACAGATATATACAGTAAATGCTCAAGCACTTGTACCACAGAGCCATGATATGTTTAGTGCTTGTTAGCTACTGAGATTTTGAAATCATCATCGATCCCCAGCAATAATGAAATCTTAATATGATGTTTTAAAATCCTCGTACCTGAATTTTTGTAGTCTTTTGGTTTGCCCCAAAGGTTGTCCCAGTACGGATTTGTTTTATCAGAACCTTTCTTCTTCATCATTCTTATTTTTGCTTTTTCCTGGGACACACTCATTTAACTGTTTAGTTATGCTAGGAACTAAAATAAAATCAGGTGCATAGAATATTTTATATGACGGAATTAATCGGCAATCACAGTTTTCTACAAGAAAGAAATACTTTAAAGATGGACAGAAATTTCTGTAATATAAAGATTCATATTTGTTTAAGACACCTCTCATGAATGTAAAACCTAATGCTTGTTTTGCCTGTGTTTAAGAAGCTTAAGAAAAGCCCAACTATGAGGAGCTTTAGAAACTAATTCTCTAGTGACTTTGCGATGATTCCATTATCAGAAACTGCAGAGCTATCTATTGTAGCATATTTGATGCAAGACTTTCAGTTACGTGTGGACGAGATTGTTCTGGAAATACACATTATTCACCATTTATATCAAAGCCAACAAGAATCTCTTCAGATATATCACATGCTAAATCACTAAATTGCCTTCATGCTTGAGCTTAAAGAATTGTGGCGCAATTCAGGATAAACATATTGAAACCTTACGTAGTTTATAAGAGGAAAGTTTGACGAACTATTTAAGCTTTGTATTTGTTAATCTCATTAAGAATCCATTCACTATCAAGATTTATAGCCGGTCAAAAAATGATAACTGCATAATACGACCCATATAAAATTTAGTTCATGCATAAAAGTCGGTCAGAAGAACAACTGCACGTACATTAGCAATTCTTCACATAATATGTAAAATTGAAGATGAAGTAGATTCTACAAGACTTCTTACCAAGACTTTTGCCTGCCTCTTTTCCCATCTGGAGCTTGCCTGTAATTTAACAAGTATAGCTCTGGTTACATGATTGCATTACAGCAGTACTATACTCTATAGCACAGAAGGTTAAAAACAGAAATATTGATAAACGGATGTTCTCATAAAATGAGCGTGAAACATCAGAAACATGATATCTATAAGATGGAAACATAAAAATGCTACTAGCTGTTTGAATGTCCTGAAAACTTGTCTCTCAAATCCATGCTATGACAAACTTTTAAAAATTTGTTTCAGGAGTCCTAATAAACAGTTCAAAATTCTAGGTCTTTCAACCCGATTGAATAAAATGCATAATTTTTGAGATTGGAACATCTGGGATGAGGAAAACCACGTCAACCTTCAAAATGTCCACCAATTGTCAAAGGAAAATTGGAAGAAAATCTATGAGCACTCAGAAGTGGATAAACAAATAGCCAGTGCAGTGTTATTACCATTCTAAAGACATCCATTGATGCTGATCCCATTCCTGAAAGCATCAGGGCAACCTGTTTATGATTAAAAGAGCAAGTAAATATACAAGTAGCTTAAACAAACTGAATTAGATGGTATGCATTTACATGTCCAGCTTCCATTCTTTAATAGGAACATAGCATGATGTGTTAAAAAATAACATTAGCAACTAGATTTTGGCTGATTGAAGAAACTCATTTCTCACATCACATTCCCATAGCAACGATTTTTCTGCTCAAATTGCTAGTTGTTTTTGTTAAACTTCCAAATTGTCTTGTTTGCCTTTTTCTAATTAGCATGACGCTTCTAATTTGGGAAGTTTAGATTAATGGTTCAAAAATAAAGGTCAAATACTTCGAATTTATGTTCCTTGAAGAAGTTGAAGTTATGAATGAGGTGACCACAAACCCATCAGAAAATACAAGTTTGGAGACTTTGAAAGCACAAGCTGCTCTCTTGGGAAGATTTATCCTCAAAATGTCAGTTGCCAACAAAAGAGAGGGAATGGAAACTTTAAGACAAGGAGGTGATGACATGATCATAAGATGAAGGAGAATGTATAACAAACTGGAATAATTAGATTTTCTGATTAAGGTCTTACATTTACTCTTTCTACCCGCCGCATTTCATCTTCAAGTAATGACAGTTGTGCCGCAGATGTCCAATGAATGCAATCAACAGGGCTGATATACAGAAACATTTAGTAAGATCGACTTTTTGTAACCAAACTACGAGCCACTTTACAAGCAAATCAATTTTTGCAGCAGAAAGTTATAAAACTCGCATATCAAAGTGCAACAGAGAAAAATATTGCTTAAACTTCAGTAACGTGATAATTTCTACATTGATCTATGATAATCCAACAAGTGCAGGATTGGCTGGGGTTTGCTGAATTCTGCTATCTTTTCATTTTATCAGATATTAACTGTTATATAATTTTTCAGTGCCAGGATATTTGACATCTTGTCACTGTAGATCTCAACAAAGAGGCTCAAACTGTGGGAAGTCTCATGGCTGACAAATTTCTTAGACTTGTCTGTCTGAACTAGAACATATGAAGAAAAGAAACACAATCATCATACAGACAGAATTATAAACTTATTCAGATGGGTTTTGGACTTGGAAATTAGAATCAAGCTCAGTTGAACTAACCCCTGTCTAATTTTTTATACTTTTATGCAGTTGAAATCAGGTGAATATCTGAGTATCACAAATAGTCCATTGATTTCATGAAGTCCAATTCATCATTTTTGTAATTCTACAACAGTATACTATAACGCCTAATGAGTTACCAATATTTTAACAAAATGCCTGAACAGCAATTGACTAAGAAGACTTTAATCTCAATCATATAAAAGTCAAACTGGAAGAAAGGCAATGAAGAGACTTCATGAAATAATTTTAGTAATTTGGAGACAACGTCAATTTTTAAAACCAGCATCTCCTTCTGTAAAATTTTTCATCATCCATTAGAAAATACTTTTTCACCTTAAGAAGCAGAGAAACTAAGATCATAATCAGGAATGCATCTAGAATACGGACTGGCAGTTAAAGTAAAATGTAGATTTATTTTTCAAAGCAAAACCTGGTGATAATCAGAAATTAACCAACAGTTGAAGCAGGCTTAATTAAGATTTCATTATACTATATCAATTAAAAGTATGACCAATATGGATAAGAAATGTATGACATCTTAGAGAGTGCAATTACAATTGTACATAAACTTACCAACTATCAATTGCTTGCTGAACTAATTCAGTTTTTCCACACTGGCTATATGCTCTGGCTCTTCCATAGTCTTCCTCTATTGCAAACACATCAGAGGCCACATTGGCACAATTTTTGCAGCCTGTATAACAATTTTCAGTGTAATTTAATTATATGCTTTATAACTGCTCAAGACTTCAATTCAAACGTGCAAAACTTTCTAGATATGCCACTGCCATCTAATAAAGTCAAATGAAGACTGAGTATAATGGGATACTTGTATATTCAACGTGAGAAGCAAGATGCATGATAGACAGTTTATTTTCTTTCAAAGATGTGAACGAAGGAATTAATATGTTTGTTGAGGATATTAATGAACATCAATTATAAGCCTTTGCAAGCGGTTGGGATTTTGATACTTAATGCCCTATTTATCTACTTAAGATTAAGTTTCTGCACAAAGTATGGCAAGTTTCTGCTTAGTCTACACTTCAAGATAAAAAAATGAGCTGCTGTGTGAGGGGCATTTTTAAGAAATTGATAAAAACCATTGACAGAACTAAAGTCTCAGTAGGTTTGAGTTGAGATGATTCTGAACAAGTTGCTCATAAAATGCTTCTACTGTCTCAACGAAATTTCAGCAACTACGAGAGGAAGTAAAACAGTGGAAATACCTATGCAGCTGAATTCGTCGACGAAAACGTGATCTTTTCGACTAGAATCATCCAAGAAAGGATTGATTGACGTCAAAGAATACCCATGAATTTCATCATAAACCATGCGCTGAACAGGATCACTGAGGACCTGCACTGCAATAGTCAATTTATCTGTAATGAAAACGCAGGATAAAACTTCGCACACGTTTTCTTCTACTTCAAATATAAGAATATTTCGACATGTACGCACCTCATACACTTCATTGATGAACATGCAAAAGTTTGTGGTCTCGGGATCATCGCCACTTAGGTCTGGATGGCAAGCTTTCATGCAATTGTAGTAAGCTTTCTTGATCTGCTCCGGAGTGGCATCTGGAAGCTGGTAATTGTACCAGCCAAAAAATGATAAATAGATTCCATTTTCGTCAATCAAATAGCATAATCTACCCAATTTAATACTTCATAATTTATTACCACTTTAGCGGCAAAGTATGCTAGGTTCAAAATGATCGGATACTATCATTTTAGCTCCTTAAATTAGAACAAACAGTACTAAAAAGTTGCCAAGAGAAACACAATAAATTGATAATCGCATCTTGTAATTATTTGACACTAATTTTCCTTGGGTAGGAGGAAGCAAACAGAGGGAAATCAGAGTTTGGAAGGGGATGAATTACCAGGCCAAGAACGGCGTAATAGTCATCGGCAATAAAATCAGCGAGAGTGCTAGAAGCGGAGTCCTCGGCGGCAACCTTAACCCTGCCAAAACATCTTCGCTTGGCAGAATCATTCCCAAACTTGCAAGCACTAGAAGTCCGGGCGAGAAGCCGCCATGAGGCAGGAGAACTCAGATTCAGCAGTGGATCGTGGATCTTGAGAGCCTCAGAGTAAACGGGAGATAGTAAATGAGCCATTCAGATTCGAGATTCGCTGAAAGATTGAAGGACTGAAGCAGCACGGCACAGGGTGAGAGATATAAGTAAGAAAAACAAGTGAAAAATTTAGTTAGCAAAAGAGTGTTGGGAATTTTGTGAGGAGGGAGAATTTTTGGAGGGGAAAGAAAATGGGAGCGAATTGCTGACATGGCAATTTTAGAGCCAGAATGTTTTGGAATCTGAACAGATATATTTGGAAACGAGGCAAAGTCCGTTTAACTTGAATCGGGCACGTGTCGTCAAGTGTAAGTTTGCCTCTTGGCGCCTCCGCCGGTTCACTTGGATAATTGCTTCAAGGAAGAGGCAACCGCCGGAGCTTATCATCCTTGCAGCAACTAGTAAGGTTTAGAAATAAGATTTGATCAGTGAATGGTTTGAGTTAACTCATTTAATGAGCATAGCATGTTAACAATCATTAAACTTAAATTCTATCATATAATTTTCAAAAAAATATTAATTTTATTTTTTAAGATGACAGCATTTGTGAAAAGTGTTCCAATCTTAAGAATATTTTTAATTTTTGAAAAAAATATTTTAATAATTTTTTAAATATTAATAAATTTAATGATTAATAATTGAGATATACATTTGATGAGTGAATTGAGCTACTCACTGAATTCACGAATTCAAATATCTAAAATAGGTCGAAGGAAATTCAATGAACTTTTTGGGAGAAATTTATACAGGGAAATTAGTATAAGTTTTGCAATTTTAAGAATTCAAATTGAAGAGGTTAAAATTGATCAATAGTCTATGGATGAGAATCGTAAATTGAATTTTATCAAAAGAAAAAAGAATAGTAAATTGAAGAATGAAGTTTATTAAATTAAAAATTTTATATTTTCCTTACTTTTATAATATCATCTAAATCTATCATTTTCAACCTCAGATAACTTTCATCAATGGAATGAGGGGTACTAATGATTTTGGCAGGATGTGACGAAGTTTTCAGGAATATTGAGAAACATGGTTCACACTTTATTTATTATTATTTTTTTTTTTGGGATATAGATGGTTAATGCGCATTACATCGTTGAAAATACAATCTTCTTTTTTATTTTTAATTGGTCAAGAAAATACATATTCCCTCATTACCTGAAGAAAAAGAATTTCCATACTCCTAGAATGCCCTTTTAATCAGTCTCTCTATAATTATTTTAGATGTACCTTAATCTTTTTACCTCCTTTTCTTTTGTTTATTTTATTATTTGTTTTATTTTTAATATTTTTTAAAAAACTTAGTGTACAGTGAAAGTAATTTTGATATAAATGAAAATGAATATGAGGTTTAAAAACATACTCCCTCCATTCAAAAATGTAATACACTTTTTGAAAAATTGAATGTTCAAATAAAAAAATTTTTAATCTTTCGAAGTGTAATTAATGTCTTTTTTTCAAAAGTATTACTATTGATGAATGACTTTGTATTTATTGTAAGGTATTTAATATGATTAAATATGAAAAGATATAATTATTTTAAAAGTAGGCAACTACTTTATTGAAAGTGAGTTTTGATTAAAAATGTCTTATATTTTTTAACGGATGAAGTATTTGATATGAATATGAAAATCTAATATATTTTTTAATTAATATATTCATTTAAAATGAGTAAAAGCAAAAATACCCTTCAAAATAATAATTTTTTTTTTTTTTAAAAAAAAAAAACTCCACCAGAATCAACAATGACATCGTCAGCTACAATTTGGCATAATCAACTAACCAAAAACCATATACAAGCAAAAATCATATGCAATGAAGGTAGAGGATGATGAAGCAGAAGGTACAAGAAGTCATGAAGAGGGAGATGAAATATGCCATTGAGCTTCGGCCAGATGCTAGTAAAGACGAGAGGAAGAAATCATGAAGAAGACGAAGCAGAAGGCAGGAGAGATAGCGAAATCGCTAGAGGTCATAGGAAATCATATTGGTTTCGTTTCTTCAAAGGGCATTTGAGTTTCACAGCATCAGTGGGTATGCGGCAGCATATGGATGCTTCCTCGTAGTTCGCATACCCTGGTTCGTCCTCTCCATTCGCAGATTTGTGGAAGGTTGCGGCCATGGAGAAGAAATGAAATCACCCAAGACCCAGATGCACCATGGAGAAGAAATGAACCAATACTCGTGCCTTCAAGGATTTGTCGATCTTTCCGTCGGTGATGATGATTGAGGTTGGAGGTTGCATCAGAGATAAAGGACATGTATTTGTAATCACTATTGTCAAAATTTGGAGAGATATTCCATTGATGAAAGCGAGAAAGCTTGAAATGAAGACCCATATTTCTGTCTCAAATGGCGTTCGTCTTTGCTCGTTGTCGGAAAAGAAAACCCAGGAGAAGGTCGAAGTGGGGGAGGCCATCGGGCGTAGGAGAGAGAGGGAGAATACAAGCGGTCAAGTGCTAGAGGGGGAAATTGTCAATGCATAAGATAGATGAGGGTATAATTGTCCCAAAAGATAACAATTTCATGGAGCTTAAGCCATTTTCGTGGTCCCTCGCATGGAAGCGAGAGTGATTCATACCATAACAAACTAACCAGTTTTAAAATTCCATTTCCATTACCAATTTTAAGGATAGAATTTCAGCTTACCAAACGGGCCTATTGTTTCATTCCATAAAAAGTATAACGGTCAGGGACGGATCGATTTCATTGGTTGAGGGGCCAACGTGAAAGAAAATAAAGAGTGAGAGGCCAATCTATTTTAAATTATTTTATAAGCAAAAGTTATAAGTTTTACTAAGAGGTATATGATATGTGGGAGCAAGAACATCCATAACTGATAACGGTCAATTGGTTGTTTTTATCATTTAATCAATAGTTAATTGTTTGAGTAGTAGCACCACCTCTCACTTAAAAGATGTTCTATGTATAATCCAATGTTGACATGTTCATGTGTATGCATGTGTGTCTCCTTTTTTTCAAAAATGTGTTAAATTAGTGATCGCTGTTACTAGTGCACAAGATTAATATATTAATAAAATTTTGGAGTATTTTAAAAGTGAGTCAAGCCTGAGGAAAAACGGAGTCAAGCTTAAAAAAAACAAGTAACTTTGTTATATTAAAAAAGCAAATAGTTGAAAAGGGGATTTAATAATTAATTAAAAGAATAGATAAAAGCATCGATTAAAACTAATGAAACCAATCAATTAGGTGAGAGCTAGGGATTAAAATTCACCTATTATAATGACTTATTCTAATTTAATTATTTATTTATTTTCACTTATAATGACAACTGTTTATAAGATATCCTCATTACCTTTCAATAAATTAAGTCATGTCTAATTAACATTGAATTGGCTTTCATTTAACTCAAAAGGTAGTAATTAAATCTTAAAGCTATGATTTAAATTATGATAAATTCTAAATTATTTTAATTTAGTTATATGTGTATATTTCTTTAGGTTTAGGTTTAGTTTTTCATCTTCTAGTTTATCAAACAATCCATAAATATATCACATAACAACCGTCTATATAAGAAGTAATTAACTCAAAAGAGATAAATATAAACATAAACATTAATTCTCAAAAAAAAAGTTCATGTTCAACCGAAAAAAATAAATAAACTAAGTTTAAAGAGAAAATCTATCCGAAACAAACGCACTCTCTATCTTAATTGAGAGTTTAGAAATAACTTATAGAATTATAACAAAACATTCTAATAAAAGATGTAAACTAACCAGAAAAGAGAAAAGAAGAAAACTCTCAACTCAAAAGAACTTTTCCAAATTCTGTGCTCAGCCTCCTAGCTCTCAAGGATCCAATTGGATCAATCTACATGAGCCTCGTTAAGGTCCTAAAAGCCCATTAGCTCAAGTCTCTTTGGTCTTTTTTTTTAATTCATGATTAATTCTACAGCTAATGCGCATTTCTGATTTTTCATCTCCCTGTGGTCGTGACTTTTGTGTTTTTGGGTCCCCGCCCCGGCCAAATCACATAACAGCCTCTTCATCCACCCGCGATCATCCTGTGTAATTTTGTTTGTCCACGGTCGAAGCATGAACTGTCTTTTTTAGCTCT